GGAAACATATTATACGATAACATACGATAAACAACTTTTAATATTTAAATACATAATAATATTATTATACATTAAAATATTCTATTATGTTATATAATTCACATATATATGAATAATATATATGTGAATAATGATAAAGTGTAAGAATAATTTTTTTGTATGATCTTCTGCACTCACTCTGAAGAATGTTTTCGTACTTCCACCCTCTAAAGTGCCGTAAGATATCTCAGTTTGTTCCGCGAGATCGGCGACGTTTTCGATTGGCGTTATCATCCTTTCCACCGTCAGAAAAGCAGCCAGATTCGCGGTGTAAGAGGAGATGATGATTAACGTGAAGAACCACCAAATGCCGCCTACTATTCTCGTACTAGTTGCCTGATAACGAGGAGTCATTCCATATTCATCTCGAATAATTTCAATAAAATGATATTGTATTTCTTATTTAGCAACTCCATGGACATTCTATTTTGGATATCAGATTATCTGACAGTCAATTAACAACAAATTAAATACTGCTTTGTGTAAGTATTATTAATTTTATCCGTATATATTAACATTTTATCCTTTAAAATGACTGCATTAACGAAAATATTAATCCATTAACGATTGAAGAGTTCGTTTAAGAGATATAAACATAAATTCTTGCTAATCCGACATATTTGCTTGCGAATGAATATACCAATTAATTTTGATAATTATTTTACGTAACCTTTTTGTAACGATATAAATGTGCGTTTCTGTGCATTTTCGAACAAATGATATTATTATCATGTGATTTTTATCAAACAATTTAATCATCGAAAATCGTTTAACCCAAGTTAATTAAGTTAGTGTAGCATCGAAATTAAATTATTATACATATATGAGGGAAATATTCGTTTAAAATTTTGATAGGAGTTCTATAGAGATTTCGATACATCAGCACTTCTCGCTTTTGTTGCGAAAAAATAAGGAAATCCGAAGATCGATCGAAAATGCATCAGGACGCATCAGAAGTGACGAGATCGATTTAAACTGCGATCCTGACGGAAAATTCCTCACAGCAGTTGAAGAATGCAATACGGGATCTCGTTTACGATTCGCCGCCGGGATATTTCGGTCCATTAATGGTGAGGCCGATGATCGCAGAAACGATCGTCGAATGTAGGACAACCCATGAATGATTCTCTCATTTCCATTACGCGGCGCCTCTCGCTCAGGAATTGAGCTAACGGTTTTAATTCCGCCATACGATAATATCTCGCGAAAGAGTTTGCCCAGTATAATCCGCGTATTTAGAATGTGTAATGAATATATTTAATTTATATGTCGAATATAATATCCGTATTTCGCGAACAGCCTTCACACGTTTGTGAAATAGCTCTTTTGAGAGCAATCCGCTTGAACAAATTATTTATGTACATCGACAAATTTTTACATACGTGAATAATGTTACGCGCATGTAACTGTGTTTGTTCACGGAGAAATTTAATAGATAAAGTGTATCATTTGCAATACATTCTCTCACGCTCTGAATGCTCAACCGCGATTCTTGATAACCAAGCGCATCTGGCTGACATAAACATAATTTGTCGACACTCGAGACAGTCGCAACGACAACCCCGCATGTACATACGTGCCACCAGAGTCAATTGGCATCACATGATGTACCATGTAGATATTTACACACATGAGATTCTATTCTCCAACTGTTTCATATATGAAGTTTCGATTTTCTCTTAAAATGTTTGTCTAATAAATATCACAAGTGTGATAAGCGTGTAATCTAAGATTTAGTTAAATATTTGCTAATAAGCACATAATATACAATTATACAATGAGAAATTAATGTAGAAAATTTGATTAAAAGTAGATCAAAGCTGCATTTAACATTATTTTAAGTCGAATTCAAATCAAATAAAAAATGTGTATAAACAAATATGAATAATTCAGCAGTCGTGACATTGTCTGCATTTATTGAAATAAGTTGTTCATTTGTATTTGTTCAGGTTCGTTTTATTTCGTTTGAATCTGGGATTTTATATCCATATTTCTATTTAAAAAATGATTATTTTATTCATTTTTCGCTTAAAATAGTAATATAATATAAAACCAATTGTTGCACATAATCAAAAAACATTATGTTATTGAAAAGATACATATAATCTCGCAATTTGAAATTTCAAATAAATTTATTTTATATTATGACTTGTAACCTAATGATGTAATGGATGAATGAATTTTGCAATAATTTAGGAATTATTATTTATATCAAAGTTAATATTATTTAAATAAGTACATTCTTCTATTTATGTAAACGTTTTGTATTTATTAAGTCCTAATCTCTCTTCCAATCAAAATAGTTAGTTTAAAAATAGAATTTATGTTCAAATCGAATAATTAATGATTTTATTTAAAATAATTGGAATTATTAGATATATGAATAAGTAATTTAAAAAAATTAATTATTCACTTTTACATCTTAATACATGCATTTTTTATTATTTCTAAATTTTAAATAGAATATTAGATTTTAAATTTTAAATAAATTTTAAATTTGCATTGAATGATACTGCAACAGGTATATTAACTATATTGAATGATACTGCAACAGGTATATTAACTGTAATATAATGATATGTATTTAACTAGCACTAGTAATTACTTTTGCTAGTGTGATAATAAAAATGGATGACGAAGACGCAGAAATTCGTGAGGCTCACGACGAACATTCCCAAGCGAAATGCGTTGAGGACATGCAATTGTTTTCACGTGCATCGTTGTTTAGTCTAAACAAAACCTCCATTCTCCTCCTTGTTGGCATTGTCAGGAAAACAACGCGTTTCGGATTTCACCGTGAACCTCACGAATTTCCATGCTCTACAACAGATGACTATGTAAGCATCTCTCTCTCTCTCTCTCTCTCTCTCTATGCTTCTATATTTTCGATATCTTTATTATAAATAGTAGTTAATATTTAGTACAGTAAATATGCAATAATGCAATATCTATCAATATTTTTTATAGAATATATACTATAAATAATAATTGTAATAGTTTATTATAGAATAGAAATATAAATGTTTTCATAATTTTTAAGATATAAATCGCAATCGGTCCGCAAGGAAATATAAATATATTTTATTTGCAATTTACTAATCTAAATGTTAAATATTATGTTATATGACAATAGATAAACAAAAATTATAAACGATATAAAATTCTTTTTACTAGCTTTGCTTTTTAGCAACACTTTCTTGCTTTTATGTGACATGAAATATGAAACAAGAAGTTCAGAAAACACTGTCCGATGTTGTAGGAAGAATACCCGCAGCAGTCGTTCGCGTAAAAGTGAAAAATCGAACGGTGAATTTACTATCGAAAATTTATCTCAGAAGCTACTTTTATATCACGTTTCTTGCATACAAAGTTCATCGCTCTTTAATTCTTCGTAGCTAAAAAAACAAAACTCTCAAGAGATTTGATCGATGATTTTTATAAAATATTATGTTAATATTTATAATTAATATATTAAAGATACAAAGAAAAATTATGTCAATAATGTGTATACAAATGTATATACAAAATAATATATTAAACAGCAATATAAATTGTGAAGCAAAAAATAATTTAAAAATTGTAGCAAAATGAGTTTGACATTTTAAATAGTTATTTAAACTAAAACATTGCTATATAATAAGATGATCGCAAGAAATCGAGAAATATTTTGACTTATACATATGTGCATGCAGGGCTGATATGCGTTTATTTAATTAATTTTTTAATTCTTATTATTATAGGTTATAATAATTTTTGACCTGATTTAAGTTTTAAACTTTGTTCTTAATGACAAAAAGTAAACAGTGAAATTAATGAATAAGTTAATATTATATTTATTGATTCAAGTAAGATTAAAATCCAATTAAAGTTCATGCTTATCAATTTATTACCTTCAAAATTAACAAATAATTTTGTATATGAATTATTATATAATTTAAGAAGCAAATTTAATAAATTTTCAAACATATTCTTATAATGGCAACTGAAGATTATGTTCCAGATAAAATTAAATAAGGCTTTGAAAAAAAGAGCTTTACATGTGCAAGCTCCATTTCTTTTTTAATCTTTGTAAGTACAGCACAGAGAAGAAAGGTATGGCGCGAATAATGACACCGTTCTTTTCATCCCGAATGCTTCTATTGTCCACGATAGCAATACTGCCATCCCAGTTCATATTTCGTGGATACTTTTCTCGCGATTGACGGAATTCTATACAATATTGCACGTATTATTCGACAACTGAAAGCCAATTGCGCACTATTCTGCACCACTGACGTTCTTCATCCCACTCTCATCGTATTATATGCAGTATCCGTAATATATAAGAAATCATACGTTGAAAGAATAATAATTTTTCAAGCGGAATTGTGAAAATAACAAATAATATATTTTTTATAAAAGATATTCTTTCATTATACTATAATATTTTACTAACAAAGTCTGAAATTAATGAGAGACCAAAAAAATGTCGAGATTATAATAATTTTTGAAATATATATAAGTGATCAAGTTGATTGTGTAATAATATCGTGTAGAATTTATTTATTTGTTATTTTATTAATTGCTCAGCTCTATATTTATTTCTATACACTTATTCTATACACTTATTCTATACACTTATTGATCATTTTGTTGGTCATTTTGTTAACTTTTTAAATTTAATTAATACTGTTATTATTACTGATAATTTTTTATGTATAAATATTAGATATTTCTGCGCGATTTATTTATTCGAGACAGAAAATGAAAACAAAAAAAAAAGAAATTATTTTATTATAGTTATACGTAATAATTATTTCTTTAGCCAAGTTTGCATTGCAATATTTAATTTATATCTCAATTAATATTTTAGATTATTTGTTCATCTTTTCGGATATATCTTGATGTAAGAGAATGTAAATAGAAGAACTGAGTATTTCGTTGGTATGAAAATCTGACGGAGAAGTTAACGTATCTCATCCGTAAACGCGTTTATCACGGTTTGTCGAGTTTTATTTCGGGATGCTATACAAATAAAATTCTACACGAGACTTAATTCGTATTTAAAGTTACTGTATTTTTCTGATTTCTTTACTCAGAATGCAAAGTTCGTTTACGTAAAAAGACATTCTACTTTAATTTTCAAAAGTATTATAAAGTATGTAATTTTCAAAAGTATAAAAGTGCAATGTATTACGCGATAATTTTATTTTGATAGGTTTGTGTGCAATCATAATTGTCTATTCTTGTGAGTGTTGTGTCGCCACAATATTGTTGTTAAATCAATAGTTAAATGAGTGAAGAAGCCTAGGAAATCAATTGTCGACAAAATAACTTTAAATAAATAATATGGTAAATAATTTAATCAAAATAAATTATTCGTCTTAATTTATTCAAATCATTGATCTAAATAATTTATTTAATAACAAAGAAAAATATTTTATTTATAAAATTTTCTACAAGTTAATTATTAGATGCTCTTTTTTTAATAAAAATTATATATTTTTATAAAAATTTATTTGTAAGACGAATAATGAATTTGATACGTATAATAATTATTTTTTGAAACATTGATTATTTTGAATGCTGTTATACTTTCGATTTATGACTTATATGTTACAGATCGTAGTAACTTGATTCCGCTATTGCACATCGATCAGTAAATTTTTAAATAAATTTTTTTATTAAGGATCTATGACAATTTCATTAAATATTTCTCGTATAGATTCCATATGT